ACTATATGTGATGTTAGTAATTCAGGGATTCTGATTTTTAGATCCTTCATTTGTCAAGTCACGTACTGGGAGCTGGGGATAAAATGTTGAGCACAGCAGATGTGTCCCAGGTTCAGTGGAGCGTGCAGGCAGGTGGGATGAAGACAGGACCAGCGCTGTACTGATCAGGGTGTGTGCACTTGTGACTCCATGACGTGAACGAAGCTGACTTCTCTGGGGAGTTTTGGGAGACTTCCCACTAGGGGTGAGACATAAAGGAAGGGGAAGAGGATGGAGGCAGAAGGATAGGTAAGCATGACACAGTCAGGGAACTAAAGATAGACCAGCAGGCCTGGATCCAGAGAAGGAGAAGAATCCAAATTTGAGGTGAGGCTGCAGAGAGAGACTTGGCCATATCCTACAGGCTCTGTAGTCAGAGTAGGATATTGGTCTTTGTTCAGTGAATTTAGTAAAACATATTGAGTACTTTCTGGCATAGTGTACATGTTTAGTATGATATTATTATTCTGATTTACTTTTTGAAACTACATTATGGAATAGTATTAAATGTTAACTAATAATTTTGTTATTGTCCTGGGGATTGAACCCAGGGCCTCATGCATGCTAGGCAAGCACTTTACTGCTGAGCTGTACTCTCCCCCTTAACTAATACTATTTAAGAGCAAAGGGAAGCACAGAAGGATTTTAGGAAGAGGTATGACATATAACCCTATAGCTAGATTTGCATTTTGTAAACATCATTCTAGCTACTATATAGAAAACAGATTTGAGAGAGGAGAGTGGTGCAAGTACTTATGAGAAGATCAAAGGAAACTCTTGTACTTCAACAGGACATCAGAGTTGACAGGGTGAGTCATTCATCAGCCTTTGGCTCATTTGTGCCTATGGCCCATGGCTCAGAGGTATATAACTGAGATCTCTTTGTTATGCAAGATGATGTAAAATGTATAGCTACTTTTTAAGTTCCAGCTACCCAGTTTTGGATAGTCAGGGAAAACTACTACAGAGAACTGCATTTGCTAGTTGGGCTAATTTGAAAGACATTAGACTAATAGCTTTTAGAATTAATCATGAAGGTCAAGCTTCCAGAAATGTTCTTCAGAGCCATCCTGGACCTTCATGAGAATGGCCATTTCTGCCTTAGTCAGAAAGCTGAGGAATGAGGAAGCTACCTTATGTTGCCACTGTAGCTCTTTAATAGTTACTTAGCAGCTTATCAAAAAATATGTTATGCTAAAGGATGCCCAGATGGCTAGACTTCAGCCACCACGACCTCTAAACACATAAATGCCCCTAAGGGCATGTCTTGTGGTGCTCAACTTCTTTGAGTGTCTGACTGACACAGCCTGAGCTGTGTCCAGGCCTGAGCTTCAGGACTTTTAACATTTCATCTGTGCAGTGCAGGAAGAGTCTCCAGAAGGGCATTGAACTGCATCATTTGAGTCCATCCACAGGATCCATCACAAAACTAAGTTCACCCTGATGCTAGTGGGCATTCTCCAAAGATTCATATTTTACTACCTCACAATCAAGCCGGGCTGTATATTTAGGTACTCCCAGAGACTTGGTAGCCTTATTCATCAGATTAGAGCTAATGCTATTTTATCTTCCAGGGATTTGGGGGATTAAGGTAAATGGAGCATGTAGATGAGCAAAAAGATGCCTGACACAGGTAGGCATTTATAAAATGAGACATGACCCAATAAATGAATACTGTTTCACAACTTTATAAAGGAAACAGAATCCCTAAGAGATGGGGATAAAGTAGAGCTTACTATTACAAAGATTGGATGAACTGAGTACATGGGGTCCTTGTGTGTGTGCTATTTTATTTTTTTCACTTTTAGTTAGATTTTATAATTTAAAAAAGACTCTAATGTATGCACATCAGGTACCTATCCTTACAACTATAAACATACATAACATAGATTTTTTTCCTTTTTCTCTCTTCAACAATTTGGTCATATTGTACACATGTTTTGCACTTTTGTAATTTATCTTTTTACTCATGATCAACTTAAAGGTCAGTCTATTTTCTATATTTCATATAGAATTAATGACCTATCTTATCCATGGCAGCTGATTGTCTGCCTTCTTTTGCTTTCCAAAGTCTGTTGTGACATCCATCCCTGAATGTCAGTGACTGTCTTTGCAGAATACAACTTGGGAAGTGGAAAGATTGAGTCAAAGGTCAGATGCAGTTTATAATTTTACTGATATCACCAAATGTCTCTTCAGATGGCCCATGTTGCGCTTTTTACTAATCCTGAATAAATTACATTTGTTGCCTACACATTCTACAACCGTGTTTTATCAACCCTTTTGATTTTTGCTAATGAGATTGGAAGGTGAGACTTATATGGGCCAAGAGGAAATGTCCCCAAGGGTTAGAGGTTAAGGATTAATTAGAAGGAAGATAAGAGGTTAGTGAAAGTAGGATTTAGATATAAATTTAGAAGGGAAATAAATAATCTCCCAACAGTTACTAAGAGCTAGGTGCTGACTTGCCCCGGCAGTTCACACGTTGCTTTCAGTCCTCATGAACCACATTAACCCAAACATTATTCCCCATTTTACTCTGATGCTCCATCTCCATCTACTTTGCCTCCCGTGTTCTTCCCAGTTTACCATTGAGGTCAGCAACACCTAGAGAGGAAATGATTTGTCCAAAAGCCCAGATGAGCTTGAGTCAGGACAAAATTTCCATTTTCCAACCCCTGCATTACTTTGGAACTGTTCTGCACCACTGAGAGCTCAAAGGATCTTTAGGTTTTTTCAGGATGTGTGTGTGTTTCACCCACAGCATTGAGTTTAATAATTGAGTTGAATTCACCCATTTTCTATAATCAGTGGGGTTCCATTACAGTTGAATAGCCATGATCTTAAGGGCATGGGCATTTTTGACCTTGGTGATGGTTAGTTCTAAGCTTCTTCCTAAGAAAGTCTGTGTTCTTTTCCACCAGAACTACTCCACTTTTTTTTTAAAAATTTATTATTATTATTAGTTGTTCAAAACATTACAAATCTCTTGACATATCATATTTCATACATTTGATTAAAGCAGATCATGAACTCCCATTTTCACCCCGTATACATATTGCAGATTCACATTACCCCAGGAATACATGTTGACAAAAGCCACATGAGTTGAAAACTCTTAAGCTTTGGGGGATTTTAAGGTTTTCTTGTAAAAGATCTGTAGCCACTCCTGAGCTCTACCCTTTGTCCTCTGGAATCTCAAAGCTGGCCAGTAAAATTATCCTCAAACACTCCTGGAGGCTCGGCTGGCCTCGGTGCCCTCCTTCCTCCTCCTTTTCTGCTACTTCCTCAGAGTCCAGGATAATAGAGGTTAGAGGATTCAGCTGGGGTTGCCCCGCCCTCGCCTCCCTCTTGTTTTCAGAGTCCAGAATTCCTTCTTATACATCAGGCTATTTCCACTTGAGTCAAAAACGTGAGGATTCCGATTTTCTTTCAGATTTTACTGGTGACACAACATTCACTTACAGCACCAAGTTCCAGTGATGGTTCCTAAATGGTACAAAAATTGGGTGGGATGATGGTTGAGAATGTGACAAAAAGAAGGGAATTAGAAATAAATCTTTTATCTGCAAAGAATTAACCAGGGCCAATGACTTTTTTTGGGGGGTGGGGGTGGAGGGGGTACCAGGAATTAATCAGGGGGACTTGACCACTGAGCCACATCCCCAGCCCTATTTTTATTTTATTTAGAGACAGGGTCTCACTGAGTTGTTTTGCACCTCACTTTTGCTGAGGCTAGCTTTAAACTTGAGATCCTCCTGTCTCAGCCTCCTGAGCCGCAGGGATTATAGGCATGCGCCACTGTGTCAGACGGGCCAATAACTTTTTTGTGTAAACTGAAGAAGCCCAATATTGTATTTTATCATTTGGAATTCATCCTGATGATGGTAATTTTTCTAGGGCGGAGCCACAAGTGTTCTGAAGAATTAGACATTTACTGTATTTTCTCAACACAAGTACAATGTCAATATCACAGAATAGAATACGAGCACTACAGAGGTCTTAGAAGTCAACTAGCCCCATGTATAATGTTATAGAAAAGGAAACAGGCTTAGTAAAGCATATGCTATTTAGCTCTAGAGACTTGAGCTAAAGCTTGAAGCAAGCTCTCCTTCCTTTGTGATGTGATTCAATATTCATTCTGTGATCCACATTTTCTATAATCTGCTGGAGAATATGGTTGTTTGAGATTTTGTTCATTTGTTTTTTCCAATGTGGACTGAGACTTATTTTCAAAACTATCCTAAAGAGACCTGTTTTTAACTTAACCAAAGGGGTACATAAACAAGACAACGGAAGTGTTCATGAATAAGTTAAAGTGGATTTGACTGTTTTAACAGAGAAAACTGAACTGATAGGTAGGATATGTGATTTTTATTTCATTTTAGAAATTGCCATTCCACTTTTAGTTTTGTAATAAATGAATAAGGGCTATGCATTTATAGTGTCTACTGAAGTAGGGAAAACTAAGTAGTGTTATCTTTGTGAATGATCAACTGCTTACAGTGTGTTTTAAATTAACTATATAAATAATCTAACAAGGTCCTTCATTGTGCATTTCTTAGAGCAAACAAAATGCAATGTGTTTTTATAACCAGATAGCTATTTGATTTTTTTTCTCCTGTCTTTCCCACATTTGGATATAGATTGATATAGAATTACTTAAAATGCTGCATATAAATTAAACATTAAGAAGGAGCTATGGAGAGGCTAAGCTGCCCATTATAGTCTTTAGTTCCACAGTCACTGCCTCAAGGACACTCCATTTCATATCACATGTCCTCCTTTTGAAAAGTGATCACCAAGGTTCAAGTAACATTTAAACACAGTGGGCACCTGCATAATTTATAGACCTCTTTTTGTTTTGTGTTCTTATTTTAATGAAAAACAGGGAAGCAGAAGACTGTTTTAAACTTTTAACATCTTTCTTTTGTGCTTTCCCTCCCACCTTGCCTTTGCAGATTGGGGCCCTGAAGGACTACTACCACTTCTACCATAGCAGGACGATTAAAAGGTCAGTTCTCTCGAGCAGAGGAACCCACAGTTTCATTTCAATGGAACCAAAGGTAAGAAGAACCAGAGGGTGGGGACCAAGAAGCTAAGCTTATGCATTTTTCATTGGTGATAACATACTGGTAGCTGATGACCAGTATGAGACTCAGATTTCTAAAACTGTCACACTATCCTTTGGTCCAGTGTCCCTACTTCCTCTTCTGACGAAAATAGGCAATGTCTTGATTTTTGACTGATGAACCAGTATCATCCCAGTGCAGAGCAGCCCGGGGGTGGCCACAGGCATGCATTTGTCATGGAGAAATGAGAATGGGCAAGGAGTTGGGAAGATGGATTGACTGAGAATGATGGAAGTAGGAATACCATGCTATCAACCTGTTACATATAGTTCAGAGGTTCTGTGGGCTCCACTGAAGGAAGGATTTCTTCTAGAACTCTTAAAGCAGACCTTGGGAATCACCATGAGTCCTTGTGACTTTATCTGGTTTACAGCCCAGGATAAGACTCTGTCTGGGACAGGAGAGACGCTTGAACCCAAGAGATGTAGAGGATGACTCTTGGCTTCTGTGGGTTCACCTGGTAACTTTTAGGTTGGGCAGACAATATCCATTCCTGGGAGGAGCCTAGAGGGAAGTATGACCTGCATACCTTCTCCCATGAGCAAGGTGGGGCAGCTTTGGCAGGAGAAATGGGAAGCTGGGAGGTGTAAGGGAGAAACTGATTGCAGAAGCTGACTCCAGGATTGAGCTAAATATCTGTCCTTATTAATTAAATTGGATGAAGAACTGAGTTATACTGGAAAACGAATTGACCTCTCAGTCATGGCAAGTAAAGAAGAAGAGGGAGAAGCTGGGCAACTATTCCCAGTTCCTCTAAGGGCTCATGGCACATTATTTACTGATTAGGGTATTTTGCCTCCCTCTCCACCCCCTGCCCCATTATGCTTTGGGTTTGCCCTAAGTGCATTTTTTTATATAAATTGGTGAACAGGTCTCTACCAACAAGCATAGCAGTCTCAGCTAAAGAGGCTTTGAAAATTGTATTCCTTATTAAAGCAAAGAGGCTCCTATTTGAATTAATATGCAAATCAGGTTTGAAATGTGGAGTCCTGCCCTTTGTTATGTGCCATGGTTTACTTTAAATTTTCTCTGGAATATTATGGCATAGTGTTTATGATTATGAAATTGTATCTTGGTGGTGAGTAAAAGCACATTTGTTTAAGTTCCCAATTTTCTGTGAGTTATAGGAACATTCCCTAAAACTTACACTTGAGTGACCTATAGATTGTATTTTTTTTCCTTCATCTCTATTCTGAAGTTAATTTCTCTGGAAAGTTAATCTGTTTGAACAATCTTGAATTAGCTACATTTTTGAAGCAATGCTATATTTTTTTCATCTCTTAAACAGACTGTCTTGAACTTTGATAATTAAAGTGATTTCAATTTCAGATCCCATGTGCAGAGTCAATGTAAATTTGAAAAAACTAAGTACTAGTTGGTTTGGGAAGTAAGAACAGAATGTAATGAGACATTGTTTTCATGATGAAAGATTTACCGAATAAGGAGCTATTTCAATTCTTACTGTTATCTTAGGCATCTTGGTTTTCATTTCTTCTTATCTCAGTACATGAAATAGTTTATGCATGATCCAACAGAGACCTTGCATTCTGGGACACATAGTACCTGGAACATTATACCCTTTCTCCCTCAGTTCAGAGGAACTGGGCCATTTTAGGCCAATGCAATGGTACATGTTCCATTCCCTTTTCTCCTAAGTGAAATGAACACTGGAGAGTAGGGCTATATCTCACTCTCCCTTCAGATGTCTTCTACCTGTCCTTGCACCAAGCAATTCCACCTGCTTTGCAGATGGAGTGCCACCAATGGGGGCTTGTCCATGCTTTCTTTCCATTTCTTTCCAGTTACTTCTTGCAGTCCATTGAGCCCCTAGTCTGCCCAGTCATTCCTCTGCCAGGCCCTGTGCTAGGCTCTGGGGGTTTGGAGGCATCGTGGTTCTCTAAGGGAGCTTGCTGTCAGTGTCTCCCATAATATCCTTCAGGGAAACTCAGGAATTTGCAGTGCTTCTTAGTGTTGGGCGTGGATGGGGGTGTCTACATTCCTTTTTCTTCTCCGGCTTCTTCCTTCAAAAGTTTAGGTCCACTTGGCTTGTTCTTTTTTTTTTTTTTCTTCTTTTCTCTTTGAAAAATACCTTCTTATTTACAGTGATGTTGCCAGAAATTGTTAGGAAGAATTCCTATATACTTTTCTCAGATTACTTGGTCAGTTTTTCTCTCTTTACTCAATTTACACATATGTATATAAGTGTGTATGTATATTTTCTGAAAATTTGGAAATCAATGATAGATATGATGTTCCTTCAACTCTAAATATTTTATTGTGTATACATTAAAAACAAGGACATTCTGTTCTATAATGGTACATAATTAAAATCTGGATATTAACATTGGTTCAGTATTATTCTTTAATCTGTGCTCTTGGTTCACCTTTTCATCAGTCTTTCTTGGATTACATTTATTTGTTCTATTTCCTAAGTCCTTTTTACTCTATCATACTTCCTTCAGTCAGCCAACCTGTCTGCTTTCCCCTTTAACCACCTAGAAAATTTCTGAAAACTGCTAAGTCAGTTTTTTTTTTAGAATATATTTCAAATTGGGTTCATTTGTTTCCTCATGATTAGACTCAGGTTTGGTAAGAACATTTTTTTTTTTTTTGCAAGAATACCAAAGAAGCATGTGTTTTTCTCAGTACTTTAATTTGGAAGGCACAAGACATTGATTTGTTTCATTATTGAAGGCGAATAACATTAATCACATGGTTTGGATGGTGTCTGCAGGCTTCTCTACATTAGAATCACTATTTTCCCCTTCATAATTAATAAATGTTTTGTGGGAAGGTACTTTGAAACTCTGTGTGTTGGTCTGCCTTCTGTTGCTATAATGATGTACCTGAGGCTGGATATTAGTAAAGAAAAGAGATTTATTTAACTAGCACTTTTTCAAGCAGAAAATCCGCACAACATGGTACCAGCTCTAGTGAAGGTCCTTCTAAGCTATGTCACTTCTTGGCCTATGGGATCATGATAGGAGTTTGTGTGTGTGAAGGAGATATCACATGGCAAGACAGGAAGCCAGACACCAGGGCAGTCTTCCTGTTTTATAGCAATCTCTTTTGTGGGAACTCACAGTGGTGTCCAGTTAAAAAAAAAACAAACTACCTTGGGGAGGGTGGTTGTAACTCTGTGGTAGAGTGTTTGCTTCATGTGCGTGAGGCACTGGGTTCAATCCTCAGCACCACATAAAAATAAATAAATAAAATAAAGATATTGTGTCCATCTACAACTAAAAAAAATTTAAAAAGCCTACCTTAATTCTGTCAGAAGATAGCACCTGCAATGACACAATGATCTCCCAGTAAGCCCCACCTCTTAAAGGGCCCGTTTACTCTTGATTGCTACACTGAGGACCAAGCTTATAATACCTGAACTCTCGGGGACAAACCATTTTCAATCCATAGAACTATATAAATTTCCGTGAACCTATTTTACATTCCTCATTCCAAATTAACCTCGCTGAGAGTAGATAGCAAGTGTTGCTGTGGCTTGCTTTCTTGGGCAGATTTCCTTTTCTTTAATCTTGGGTATTGGTATGGTGGGTGATTTGTGTGCCAGAGAGGAGGCACATTAGTGGGTTTGGACCATGTGAAATGGCATCATGGAAAACACTGGTGATGTGAACTTGAAGTTATTTTTACTCCTACCTTCTCAAGACAGGGGAAGCAGATGAGTGAACTGCAAGGTATATGTCCTACTAAAAAGATCCATAGCTTCTTCTTCTCCTTTTATTTTATTTTATTTTTTTGCTTCTGTGAATTGCATGGCTAGTTTTCCCCTTTGCTTTTGTTTTTAGAGAGTTCCAAACAAGGAAATGTAAAAGTTAGCAGTGTTGTCGGAACAATACTCCTGATGCTAGAGAAAATGCTGTGGTGAGTTGGGGCATAAGAGCCCAGAGAACAAGAATAGCCATGATGCCCAAATATCAGCATTATGTTATGATTAACGTTTTGAATGACAGAGATTCACAGATTTCAAAGATAGCAGCAATAGGGCAATAATAACATGGTCTTGCAGAAAGTATCAGTACATTTTCAGCAGCCAAATCAGTAAGTTTTCCATCCTTCTCCACCATCTTTCTTTTGGATTGACCAACCTTTTCCCAAGAGCCAACACTAAGTTTCAGAAACAATAATCTGAGTTCACTTTCTCAAATCCTCTTATTAGTCTTTTCCTAAATCTTTGCCAGCTATAGATATTTTGGTCAAGGAGGGGATTAACTGCAGGACAACGTTTTGTAGAAGCTCTTTATATGCTTTTCAGATGCCCAGGCAAACATTGGGTTGGAGGGTGTGCAAGGGAGGTGATTTTTCCTTTCATTTTATTCTCCTTACAAGAAGCAGAAAACTAAAATTCTAAATTCTTTATTAGAGTAGGGCATATGTAGCTTTGTGAAAAGAAATACAAACTGCCATTAAGTTGGGCACCCATGTCCTATTTCTCTGTGGTTAATAATGTAAACTCAGCTTCTTCAGCTAGGAATAGGCTCCTTTTCCAGCTTCCTTCTTCGTAGGCCAGCTTGCCTCTTCAAACGAGCATGCATGGCTGTGTGTATTACTTGTGAAAAAGCTGCTCCTGTAACATAGACTCCTTAGATGGTCTCATCTGTCCCCTAGCCACTGCTGGCTTAGCCTCCATCATTTTTCTGAAAGGAATTTTTTCAGATCTTTTTGAAAACAAAAATAACTTCAAATCTGTTGTGAACATGTCCAATGACAGGGAGTTCACTACCAGGCGGTATCTTCATTACAACTTTACACCAGCTATAAAATGCTAACAAATCCATGAGTTGGCATTTATGAGTCTATGAAAATCCACCAGAATGCTTATTCTTCAGGAAGAAGCATTTCACCTGTAGGTTGGAAAGCTGTAATGCACCTAGGGTGGCAAGATGGCCAACAGAATAGTAGAGATGTAAAAAACT